TGAATTACATGTCAATACAATGGTTAAAACACAAAAGAAACACAGACTGAAGGAATCCACATGCAGAATTCATTCTTTTCAGGTGTCTTCCTTCCCAGGAGGGGTCACACTCTCCTGGGTTGGAAAAAAAAATGACATCAATCAACACACATAAAATGCTTTTGACACTTTAGACTCAGAATTTAGTTTTTATTGGGACCTGTAGCACCGTTGTTCACAGTGGTTGCATACACAGCTGTTAACTGTAAAATAGGTAGCTTAAACCCACCAGGCACTCTACAGCAGAAAGGTTTGGAAGCTGGCTTCCATAAACTTTGCAGCAGGTCTAGTCTGTCCTATGGGGTTGCTATGAATTTGAATTGATTCTTAAACAATAGGTTTAGTTATTTGGGTATTGTATTAGTCTGGGTACTTTAGAGAAACAAATCCACAGAAACTCATGTATAAGAGAGTTTTATATAATGGTTAACTGCATCAAGAAAATATCCCAACTCAGCGCTGCCCAAGCCCACAAGTCCAACATTAACCCATTAACCCATTTGTCCAACACCAATCCAGAAATTCCCTCTCCATCTCACAAAACACACACTATGATGCCGACTGCAGGAGGAAAGCCGAGTCAGTGAGTGTATAAGCATCGCAGTGCTGGCAGGAATCTCCACAAGGCTGCTCCAGCACCCAGGGCTGCATCGGGGTAGGTGTGGCTTCTTCTTGGGGATGTCTTGCAGGAAGTCAGCTTTGCAGGTTGAAGCTGGGAACTGCTAAGGCAGCTACACCCTGCTGCGACTATCAGAAAGCAAGAGACCAGAGAACTAAAAAGGCGAGGCTCACCAAGCCATTTATCCCTCTGCCTTTCAATGAGTCCCACAAGTGTTTATTGGCCAGGTTGGCACAATAAACTCAGGTATGTTCATGTAGATATTCTCTAGCTAGAAATTAGCAAAATTCCACATTCTAGAAGGAAAGCAAATGCTTGTCAAAAATCACAGCGTATGGCCAATTGTCCACAGTGCAGGTTTCACACCGAATTTCCCATTACCAGCTCACAAGTCTTCCTAAAGATAGCTAGCATCTTCCAACCCTTAATGCCTCTTTGCATATTACCCCCAAATAACTTTTTTTTAGGTTAAATAAATTTGTCTAGTCATTTTATTGGGGGACCAAAATAACTTTTGACATTTTACTCCTGTTTAATTCTACAAACAATTAATGAGAATCAAATATGATTCATTTGCTGTTAAAACCTGAATTATGATGAAATATTTCTGAAAAGCAACCTGTTCTGATTTATCTAACACAAGAAAATAGCACAGAGAAAGATGCCAAGTTGATTTTGCTTCTCCACACATGTATGGAAGTATGGAACACCTATATTCCTAAGTGGAAGTGTACTCTGCCCAGCCCCTGCTCCCACATAAGGTTCTCTGAGATCTGGTTCCTGCTTATTTTACTCTGATTTCTTTATTGTCCTCTCTTTCCCTACCTCACCTCCAAGCACCCCGCCATTCCACAAAAAATAAACGTGCTTGGAATGAACGCTCCCTTTTGCTACTTTCCCCTATGCGTTGCTATTCACTTTTCATAGTGGACCTGGGGCCACAGTGGATATGCATTGGGCTGTTAACCACAAGGTCAGCCATTGGAAACCAGTAGCTGCTCTGTGGGGAAACGGGAGGCTTTCTGCTTTGGAAACCCACCGGGCAGTTCTGCTGTCTTAAAGGGTCGCTGTGAGCAGGAATCAACTAGATGCAGTACGTTTGAGCTTAGATTAGCCTCCTCCATGTTGCTTCCATTCCTCTGAATCTCAAAAATCAAACCAGACTCACTGCCAGCCCACTGATTTGGACTCCTATCGACCCTAAAGGGCCGGGAAGAAGTGCCTGCCAGGGTTTCTGAGACTATCATTCTTATTGTTTACCATAAAGTCTAATTTTATTTTTAACTTGATTTTACAAGTCTGTCAGTTTACCTCAAACTTAACATGATTTTACAAGTCTGTCAGTTTACCATATTAAATTAACCATATCGTCCATCAGATGGATTATGGCTTCAATCCCTCAGAAGAATGTCAGTAAAAATATCAGTCTTTTCCACAAATACGCACCCACTGTAGCAGTTTAATTCTGAAGTTTCCTCTCTATAAATACTTTCATATAGTTGCTGGCTGTGCAGCTGCATGGGGCTCTAATTTTATAAACTTGCTTTACTGTTGCTCACTGCTGGTTCTGCTCCAAGGTCCAAATCGTGTAAACTGGGAAGCAAAGGCTAATGGGGCTGCCAGAAAAGCCCACTGAACACATCCTGTAGTGCCAGGTGACAAGCCAGAGAAGTGTAGCCTCCAGCAAGGTCCTGCGGAGAGGCAGCTCAGGGATGGTTTCCATACGCAAATCTTCCTAATGTCTCAAGCTCAGGAACTTGTGCTCCACAGGACTCTGTGCAGTGGCTGGCATTCATACAGAGCTTTTTCAAGGTTTTGAATCGGGGCTAGTGAAGTCTGTCAGTGATGCCTGTGGAAAAGTCAGACTTTTATAGGTTTAGGTTTCTTAAACTGCATTTCCAATCGGGTAGATCAATCCATCTTTATGCTGAACCAACCCAAAGCAGAGCAACCGGGAGATCCGAACTCTCCAGTTCATCTAAAAACGCCTGCTTTGTCTTCCTTTTGCGCATCTGCAGCAATTGTTCTTTTTGTACAAACAGGCGTCTTTGTCCATTTTCCTGTCGTTCTGCTTCTAAAGCTTCTTTAAAATTCTTCCTGTTCCCCAGTCAGCTGTAGCCTATTTTTCGGAATCACATCCTTGTTCTGTTGGTCTATCTTCATTTCCTTTTTGGTGTTGTCCAAATTCACATTGTTGGTCAAGTTGAAAACAATTCCTTCTACTTCTTCCAGGAAGTCATTATATTCGCTTAGACTACAAGTCTTCTCTTTTATTGTGTATCTTTAGCACTTCCTCCCCACTAATCTCAACCTCTTTGTTTTCAAACAGTTGTACCCTGAATTTTCTCCTTCTAAGTGCAGTACTACAGTTAGGACAATTTCCAGCTCTTTTCATAAACAATAAATCCACACAACTTTCACTTCTTTCCCAAAGGGCCCTGTCTGGCTGCCTACCTCTTCCCCCAGCTGACTCCGGACCCCCGCCCCCCGCCCACCTCTTTCCTTGGCAGGGGGTGGGGGACACCTCACTCCTTACCCTCCTCCTCCCCACTCCCTCCCCAAGTTTTGGCAATTCCTTTTTTTTTTAAATCATCTTATTGGGAGCTCGTACAGATCTTATCACAATCCACACAAACATCCATTGCGTCAAGCACATATGTACATATATAAACATTTTCTTTCTACTTTAGCCCTTGGTATCAGCTGAGACTTTAATTCTCTATGGGAGTTTAAACTGCCTTTCTCCCGCGGAGCAGATGGTGGTTTTGACAGAACGGTAAATTACCCCTCTGCGTACCCCAATACTACCTTAATTAGGGCCCATCACAATTTTACTGCATTCTTTGTTCACCTCTCTGTGAAAGGTCTTGAGACCTTTTGTCTCCTCAGTGCCTAGCACACATCTGTGAAATGGCTGGTTATGTTAGTTCTCTTCATTACATAGGTTGAAGTAATAAAAACCCTGTCGGAGTCTAGAAATTGCTAAACTGCCGGGAAGTGTCCAACCCTAGTACTGTACTCTGAAAGGAAAACCGTTGTTTGACGGACGGACAAGAGGCGCTGGATTAGGCAAGGTCACCCTCAGGGCTGCCTCCTGGCGCTCCCCGCGCCGCCCTCCCCGCCCCAGGAACCGATAACCCAGCTCAAGGTCCTAGGCGCCCGGGAAAGCCCAAGGACAGGCAAAGGCACCACGTGCTCCCAGCAGGAACTCGGCCCCTTTACCACACGTAGTTCCGCCACGGACTCGCTCCAACGGACGTCCCCACGGTCCAATGACGCTTCGAGGCTCCAGGGGTTGGGCCCAACGCGACAGGATCCAATGAAAACAAAGAATTTCAGATTGGCATTAGTTCTAGCCAACGGACGAGAAGAGGGCGATTCCTCAACCTATAACAGCAGCGCTGAGCGTGATGAGCAGCAAGCTCCGCCAATGGGGAAGCCTGCAGCCGCGCAGGCCTCGCCCGGCTGCAGAGGAGTTGGCGGCGGCGGGAGCTGCGGCGCTCAGTCTCCACCCGGACTCCGCCATGTTGGGGCTTGCGGGTCGTGTGGCCGCTGCCTCGGCCTCCGGGGCCTTGCGGGGACTCAGCCCTTCAGCGTCGCTGCCCCAAGCCCAGTTTTTGCTGCGGGCCGCCCCGGCGGCGCTCCAGCCCGGTAAGTGCCTCCTTCGAGAAGCCAGGTTCATTTCACGCTATGACCTTGAGCCGGAGGCCTAAGGAGTCCACGGTGCTAGCTGGACGCCCGGGGCAGCACCCTGCCCTTTAATGGCGGGAGAACAAAAGCAAGACGCCCTGGAGAGTTTTTTGCGATCCAGTTCCGCCCCATGTTAACGAAGGGGGCCGCCGTGTGACCGAATAGTGTAGGCAGGTGTATTGATTGACCTTCCCCCGACATGGTCCCCGAGCTCTCGAATTACGGGATTCTGTGCACTCGAATTGGAAGGCTGTGCACGCGCTTTCCGGGTTCCTGCGTGGCTCCCCCTTGGGCACGCCTTCCGTCTAGGCCGAAGCCACCTCTTGGTCACAAGTCAGGGCTTGTGATGACCTTTAATTGCCCTGACCCCCAACGCCTTCCCATGTCTTCTGTTCATTAGGCAGAGACTATGCGGCGCAAACTTCACCTTCACCAAAGGCAGGCACCGCCACCGGGCGCATCGTGGCGGTCATCGGTGCCGTGGTGGATGTCCAGTTTGATGAGGGCCTACCCCCCATCCTAAACGCCCTGGAAGTGCAAGGCCGAGACACCAGGCTGGTTTTGGAGGTGGCCCAGCATTTGGGTAAGTAGAATTTGTTGAGATTTGTAAAGAGCTTGTGGAGCCCAATTATCCTAAGAACCAGGCTGCCTGCCTTCTGTGATGATTTTATCAAAGTGACTTTCGTTCTTCTGAATTTGCTGAAGCCACATTAGGTTCTGAGAAGGGGTCTTGGTTGCTTTTTCATGCCAATTAACACTAACTTAAATGTACTGCAACCAGCTTGTCGTCGTGTGTAACATCAGTACCTTCACTAACAGGTGAGAGCACAGTAAGGACCATTGCTATGGATGGTACTGAAGGCCTGGTCAGAGGCCAGAAAGTTCTGGACTCTGGGGCACCCATCAAAATTCCTGTTGGTCCAGAGACCTTAGGCAGAATCATGAATGTCATTGGAGAACCTATTGATGAGAGAGGACCCATCAAAACCAAACAGTGAGTATCCCACTTCTGGATCTCTGCATAAAGAGATTGCTTTTATCGTACAGTTTTATGCATTTGGGTACATTATACATCATGGTTCAGCACAATTTCCCTGCAGAGACTACCAACATTGCTGGGATACTCATTTATTATAAGTCCCACTGTACTGAACTTAGGATGCTGGAAGTTCTGGTTTGATGGTTTTAGTGCCAATGGCATAGGTTATGTGTGTGGGTGGGGGGTGTCTCTGGAACTGACAAATCTTTCATGGAAGTTGCCAGGGAGTGGAAGTACTGCTGAGAATGAGGTGTGCTTGGTTGCAGAAGGTCAGGTTAGATACCAATGACAACTTGTCTAGCATGTTGGAAGTGGAGGGGGCATGTGAAAGTGAGCAAAGGGATGGACTTCAGGAACCTTTGTGACTAGTCAGCAGTCAACTTAGCACAAACAAAGCAAATGAGACTGATCTGATCCACTTCCACTTTACAGATTTGCTCCTATTCATGCCGAGGCACCTGAGTTCATGGAGATGAGTGTTGAGCAGGAAATTCTGGTTACTGGTATCAAGGTTGTGGATCTGCTGGCTCCCTATGCCAAGGGTGGCAAAATCGGTATGTTATCGATGGGGACATTTTTCCATATCCATGGTGAGAGGGTACCATTTTCCTGTGGGTGGGTATTAAGATCTGCCCTCATTGATGAGTAGCTTCTGACTTTCGTTCTTCTGAGTTTGCTGAAGCCAGATGCCATTTCTGAGAAGGGAAAAAGGTGGGGAAAATCATGTGGGTTTTTTTTTTTTTTTTTTGTCTGTTTGGAATTTGCTTATGTGGGAATGCAGATCTCTTACATACATGTTTTTCACTTTCTCTCAGGGCTTTTTGGTGGTGCTGGAGTTGGCAAGACGGTGCTGATCATGGAATTAATCAACAATGTCGCCAAAGCCCATGGCGGTTACTCAGTGTTTGCCGGTGTTGGTGAAAGGACCCGGGAGGGCAATGACTTGTACCATGAAATGATTGAGTCTGGTGTGATCAACTTGAAGGATACTACCTCTAAGGTGAACACAGCCGGTGTACACATAGTTGTGTCAAGAGACCTGTGCAGTTCACTGTGTGCCAGCTGGAGCCATGTTTTATGTCCCAGGCCTGTAAAGGAAATGCTAGTGCCCTTCTTCATGAATGCTCATAGAGGTTTTTGACAGTAGATTACATTTCCAGACTCCCTTTTTGGTAGACAGCCAATTCATTTGCAAGTTAATTTGGGGCCACATTTAGGTTCTGAGGTTGGGATGGGGTTTTGTCTTCGATAACCCTGTTTTGAGCTTTTCATTTAATGTACATATTGTCTAAAGAATTTTCCCTCACTAATGTAGAAGACATTGCTTTTGTGTTTTGAATCACCTAATAGGGAAAAGATACTGAGGCAAAAAAGTGCCACACTTTAGAAGGACCTTCCTGGTGCTGGTTCTTCTCTTGGGGACCTTGGGCATCTGGCTGCCATGCTGCCCTATCATGGTTTTTGACTCCCACAGGTCGCGCTGGTGTACGGGCAAATGAATGAACCACCTGGTGCTAGGGCCCGCGTGGCTTTGACTGGACTGACTGTGGCGGAATACTTCAGAGACCAAGAAGGTCAAGATGTACTGCTGTTTATTGATAACATCTTTCGCTTCACCCAGGCTGGCTCAGAGGTACGATGGAAGGCTTGAGTGTACCTGGCTCCTTTGATCAATGAAATAGTGCAGGTGATGATAAAGGTTTCTTCATCTTTTCCTAAGGTGTCTGCCTTATTGGGCAGAATCCCTTCTGCTGTGGGTTACCAGCCTACCCTGGCTACTGATATGGGTACCATGCAGGAAAGAATCACCACCACCCAGAAGGGATCGATCACCTCTGTGCAGGTAAAAGCTAGTAAATAGATGAAGGTCTAAGGTATAAAAATGTTTAGGGATGGAGCAAACAAACCTGGTTGTTTACATCTCAATGGGGCCTTAACGAGGGGGTTCATGAACTCTCCAAAATACTCTATATGGGTAGGTCAAAGACGCTATAAGGTTAAGAAATACTCATGAAGTAGTTGAAGGCATGGGTATAAATATAGACTGCAAAACTTTTTTCCAGCCTACACACTTTGGAGCTGCATAGAAACAGCTATCTTAATGCACTACACATTTTCAAAGGTGTAGGCAGTTATAAAAATGTTGCTTAAACGAGGCTAATTTAGAGTGACTATCCATGATTCATTTTCATAGTGAATTAAGGTTTCTTTTCCTTTAAAATTTTTTTTAGTTCTAAAAGTGGGTACCATTACAGGAGAGCTAAAATGTAGGGCGAAGAAAAGGAATGGCAAGGAGAATTTGTCCATCAGAGCCTGGAGAGGGGCCAGGTAGATGGGTGGAGGTGATGAGCATTAGAAAATGGAGTGGGGTGGCTTAAGTGGAATGACTTTGCTTCTTGCTGCTCATCAGGCTATCTACGTGCCTGCTGATGACTTGACTGACCCGGCTCCTGCCACTACCTTTGCCCATTTGGATGCTACCACTGTGCTATCTCGTGCTATCGCCGAGCTGGGCATCTATCCAGCTGTGGATCCTCTTGATTCCACCTCTCGAATCATGGATCCCAACATTGTTGGCAGTGAACATTATGATGTTGCCCGTGGGGTGCAGAAGATCCTGCAGGTGAGCATTGCTTTGTGAGATTAGTCATCACGCTAAGGGAATTTGGAGGGCTGTGGTAGTACTTGGAGAAGGACGACGGCTTTCTACTTCTGTAGAGTTCCAGTCTGGGTTGCTCAGGGGGCCAGTTCCACCCTGTGTGATTGGTTCAGTGTGTCAGCATCAACACACTGGCAATGAGTGTTTCAGTCATACTCGGTGTTTCCCAGTGACATCTCTGATTTGCTTAGGGAATGGTAAAGTGCTTAGTCTTTGGAATCCAGTTTCCCCAACAGTGCTAGGCTAAAGGTCCTCTGGCTCTTGAGATTGTCATTTCCCCCCTCTTGAATTGAGGTAAAGTGCTAAAAAAAAAAGGGGGGTCTTTGCTATAAAACTTTGTGGGACTGTACAGTGGTGTATGAACCCATAAGGTTGTATATGTGTGTGTGTGTCCCCAAATTGAAGGACTGAATGAATACTCAGGCCTTTTCCTTTTTTTCCCTCATAGGACTACAAATCCCTCCAGGACATCATTGCTATCCTGGGTATGGATGAACTTTCTGAGGAAGACAAGTTGACTGTGTCCCGGGCACGGAAAATCCAGCGTTTCTTGTCTCAGCCATTCCAAGTTGCTGAGGTCTTCACTGGCCATATGGGGAAGCTGGTGCCGCTGAAGGAGACCATCAAAGGGTTCCAGCAGATTTTAGCCGGTGAGATTTTGAGCTCAAAGCAGAACCATAAATGGCAGAGAAGTTGAAACAAATCTCTTGTGAATTTTTTCTCTGTTCTCATTCCAATAACCATTAGGAAATATATGAGGGGGCCATCCTCAGAAAGTTCCTTGGATAAGTGGGATTAAAAGAGGATGTGGTTTTCCAGGAATTTTTAAAATCCACCCCCCCTTTTAAAAGAAACATGTTTACTATTAGTTTTAACAGTTTTATTGGTATGTAATTCACATTGATTTAATATTTCAACATTTGAAGAAGTTATATATTCATCAGTTTTCAAACATTTTCTTTATTCTTGTACTATTATCAGCTCTCCATTTCCCCGAACTTCCCCTCCCATGCCCCTGCGAAGGAACCATGAATTCCCCTTTTAATTCCATTTTTCCATGAACTTTTGGAAGCCCCTACATGATAAAAACCTTCCCATCAATTTTATTTGAAAACACATTCACTTCTGAAAGTGTTAAATTCCTTAGCTCCTTGTGGATTTGATTTGTGGGGCGAATTCATTCAGGGTTTTGATGATGTGTGACGTCCTCTCCTGACTATTAGCTTCAACTGATGAGGCATATGCAGGATGGACATCCTTTCGCTTCTAACTGTGTATGTCATGTTTTGTTTCCATCTAGGTGAATATGACCATCTCCCCGAGCAGGCCTTCTATATGGTGGGACCTATTGAGGAGGCTGTGGCAAAAGCTGACAAACTGGCTGAAGAGCATTCTTAAAGGGCTCCTTTGAGCCAACGGACCCCTGTGCACTCTCATCCCCCCCCAAGCCAAAATCTTGTTTTCTGTACAGGCCACACAAGAGCCTTATTTGAAGATGTGTTCTGTCTAAAAAATATTTAAGGTTTCCAATAAAATGTACTTCCCTCATCTGCCTGCTTTTCTGGGGGGAGAACACTAGATGTTGAAGGCATTTCCTTTTAAAAGCAAATTGATTTTCTTGTCAGATAATCCTGCTTCCTAGTTAATATGCAGTTGGGAAGAAATGGGGGGGATTTAGGGCTTTTATTTTTAAGGAAGGTGACCGAGATCAATAATTATGTAAGACTTGAGTGAAAAGCACCTCCCATATGAGCATGTATTTTAGTGAGACATTAATTTCTCCAGAAAGTGCTTCCACTTAGATTTTGGGCAAGTCTAGACTTCTTGAGTAGATGCTTATGAGTCCCCCACCCCTGTTTATGTCATGCTATGCCCTAACCTGAACTCCACTGATGTTCCCACATCAAAGTTAAGGAAGGCTACGTGGGCATTAAGTTTCAGGTGAGCTGGGTTTGGGCTAAGTGAATGGAAATAAAGCCCCCTGAAAGGTGCACAGAGACCCCCAAATCAGTTTTTTAAAACAAGGTTGCAGTAAGTGCCACCAGGGTTCAGGAGCCTTGGTACTGTGGGTTAACCTCTTAACCCAAAAGTCGTGGCTTCAGCTGCCAGTGGCTCTGAGAGGAAGCACCATCCTGCTGCTTAAAAGATTGATCACCTTGGAAACCCCATGGGGCCGTTGTATTCTGACCTAGAGGGTCCTGAAGTAGACGTGGGTTCTTCGGAGCTCAGGCTCATTTTACTGCCCTCTGGAGGGAGGACTAGAGGCAGTTGCCAGAGCTCTGATCTCACCATTTTGAAATCCATGAAGGCCATTTGCTGGGAAGTGGTTCTCGGCTAATGACTGTTTACAAATCAACCAGGGCTTTTGTCCGAAGGAGGGGTTTGCAACTGGAAGCTCCACCTTGCGAGGCATTCCTGTTTCAGTTGGGTAGCAGTAGGGCGGGGACATGCAGAACTCCCAATTCACAGTCCCCTGGGGCCTGGATGTTGGGGAGGGGCCTTGGGAGCGGCGCCAGGGGTGGAGTAGGGGCCTCAGCTTCCTCCTGTCTGCATATGACGTCCTTGGCTTCAGCCTCCGGTGTCAGGATCTGGACGGAAGGTGGAGCCCCTGAGTTGTCTGTGCTAGGTATTTTGCGCCCAGAAAATAATGGATTTGGGGAAGTGCTGAGTTACCGGGGTGGGGTCACCTCCTGACCTCCGTCGGTGAGAAAGCCCTAGAGTGTGGATCAGCATTTTGCGTTCCTCTGTCATCCAGACGCAGACCTGGAAACCGTCCTAAAGGTTGTTTGCATCCTTCCGCCGCCTCCCTCCTCCCCTCCCCCTTTCCTTAAGTCCTTACGGAGAACCTTCACCCTCTCACCAGCTGCAACCATTTATTTCCTCCTCCCTTGCCACTGGAGTGTCAACACAGATGTAACCTTCCTCCATATTTCTCCTGGTGTGCCCTGTCCTCGCCACCGCCTCCTCCCTCTCTCCAACCCAGAGAAAGCCCCGCCCTCCCTCCTCCCCCCTCCCTAGTCTGTCACACGGGGACATCACCCAACAGCAGTTCAGGCTGTGGTTCGCAGGAAGCACACATTGGCTTTTTGATTCTTGCTAGTTCCCAGCTCACAATTTGGGAGGATCTAACGCCAGCGTTCACGTGAAGGGGGACACAAGGACAGCGAGAAGCTGAGTGGTCCCAATATTGGAGTCCAGCCAGCCTGACATGGGTGAGTATTGGGACCAGCCCCCGGAAAGGTCTAGGATGCCTCGCTCCCTCCCGGGCTGACTCAGCAGGGGTGTGGCCTAACCTTTGCTCTTGGGGGCAGTGAAGGAGGGGAAGCGGGGCCGTGCGGGGCACAATGTTTAGCCAGATTCCAGGTGCTGACCCTGGGATCTGGAGTCCTGGCCGGCTTGAGGACTTAGATCCTGAGACTGCGTTTTAGCTCGGCACTTCCCCACCCCCGAGGAATATTGTCTCTGGATCTTCCCTTTCTCAGCTTGCAAAGTAATATTCAGTCGTCCTCAGTCCCAGCTGACCCCCCTCCCCCGCCCCAGTGGAGCTCACTTTTGGTGTTTCAGGGTGCTTCCTCTCCCCCAGTTTTCTCTCTGGGCCTAAGTGCCCGTCTTTTCTCCTCCCCCACCCGACCCGTCACCAGGTGGGGGCTGCACTGAGCAGCTGCTTCCTGTTGCCCCAGAGGTTGCAGCAACCAAGGGAGGTGGTGGTTGGGGGAAAACTGAACTAGAATAACGCCGATTCTCACGGTTCCCCATCACCCTCGCTCACTAGGGCTGCTATTGGCGGCCCCCCGCACGCCAGTCTCTGAGGTCACGGAGAGGCGGGATCGCGGTTGAGAAGACTAGGGAGGTCCTTGCCCTCATGGCTTCCTGATTCCAGAGGCTTTTAAACTTGGGCAGCGTTGCGGGAAGAAGGTTGTGCCGTTCCCCGGCGGTGAGGGATGAGGCCCGGAGCTGAAACACGAGGAACCTGTTCACCGAGTCGGACGCCGTGTGCGTGACCCCAAGCCGGCTTGGGTTTGCCTTCTTCCTCGGGCACCTCCGTGCGCCCTTGCGGCTCTCGCCGACTTCCTTTGTGAAGGGTGTCCTGGGAGCGCAGGCCGTGCTCTCCCGTGACCTCGGTAGGACCCCGCTAGCGCTCCCAGCCCCCACCCCACTCCGCGGCAGAAGTTTCTGGGGTCAGTTCTCCGCCTCCATCTGGGAGCCTTCCTGGCTCTGGCCCCTAGGAGACGCCACCCGCCTTCCCCTCCC